TTTTTTTTTAAATGACATCCTCTTTAAGCTCTTCCTGTGTCGTCCTGTATTTACTGCTGGGCAAACAGGCTACCTGTTAAAGACAAACACTGAAATGGAAAATAATGTGATTATAAATATTTGTAATCTACTATAAATGTATGTTGTTGGTTTCAGATCAGTAAAAGTATCTGTATAAAATTGTAGCAGATTTAGAAATTATAGTTGTAAAGAGCTAAAGAACTATATTTGTGTTTTCCTTTTTTAATGTTTACTTTCCAGTGGAAAACACAGTACTGATCGTTCATCCCTAGAGTTATAAAGTGTCAGGCTATACCTACTGTGAGCAATGTGCTGAAACCACAAAAACGAGTGGCTTTTACATGCAGTATACACTGAAGTCTAAAACTACCAAGCAAGTGGAAAAAAAAGAGAGAAATACCGTATGTACTAGAGTATAAGCCGAGTTTTTCGGCACATTTTTTGTGCTGAAAACCCCCCCACTCGGCTTATACTCGAGTCAATGTCTGTATTGTGGCAACTTACATTGCCACAATACAGACCAGGACCGCCGGGCTCATTACAAGCCCGGCGGTCCTGTTGGGGGCTGACAGAGAGCTGTTACTTACCTTCCTGCAGCTCCTGTCAGCTCCCTTCTCCTCCGTGCAGTTCCTCTGTCAGCTCCGTTCTGCTTACAGTGTAAGTGACTTACACTGTGACTTACAGAACGGAGCTGACAGAGGAGCTGCATGGAGGAGAAGGGAGCTGACTGGAGCTGCAGGAAGGTAAGTAACAGCATTCTCTCAGCCCCCCCACTGAACAGCCAATGCCACTGGACCACCAGGGATTCAATGTTATTATTTTAATATTTTATTTTAATAATAAAATATTATTAAAATAATATAATATTAAAATAAAAATATTATTTTATTATATTATTATTTTAATATTTGCATTATTTTTTTTAAATGTTTTTTTGTCCCCCTCCCTGCTTGTTGCCTGGCCTGGGAGGGGGGACAAAAATATTTTTTTTTTTTTTAAAATGCAAATTTTTAAATAATATAATAATTTTATTTTATTATTATATTATTATTATTTTAATATTATATTATTTTATTATTATTATTTTAATATTTGCATTATTTTTTTAAATTATGTTTTTTGTCCCCCCTCCCTGGCCAGGCAACAAGCAGGGAGGGGGGACAAAAAAACATTTTTAAAAAAATAATGCAAATATTAAAATAATAATATAATAATAAAATGTTATTAAGATAATATAATATTAAAATAATAATATAATATTAAAATAAAAAATTAAAATAAAAATGCCCTCCCCTCACCCAGTTTACACACACTGCACAAACACACACTCTGCATTATATACACACTGCATTCATTATATATACACACAAACACACACTCTGCATTCATTATATACACACACAACACACAAACACACACTCTGCATTCATTATATACACACAACACACACTCTGCATTCATTCTATACACACACTGTAAATAAATATTCAATTAATGTAATTTTATTGGGATCTAATTTTATTTAGACATTTACCAGTAGCTGCTGCATTTCCCACCATAGGCTTATACTCGAGTCAATAAGTTTTCCTAGTTTTTTGTGGTAAAATTAGGGGGCCTCGGCTTATATTCGGGTCGGCTTATACTCGAGTATATACGGTACATAGCTACCGTATATAGTCGAGACCCGTAATTTTACTCCAAAAAACTGGTAAAACGTATTGACTCGAGTATAAGACTAGGGTGGGAAATGCAGCAGCTACTGGTAAATTTCTAAATAAAATTAGATCCCCAAAAAATTACATTAATTGAATATTTATTTTGTGTATATAATTAATGCAGAGTGTGTGTGTGAATGTAGTGTGCGTGTGTGAATGTAGTGTGCGTGTGTGAATGTAGTGTGTGTGTATGAATGTAGTGTGTGTGTATATAATGCAGTGTGTAGTTGTGTGTGTGTGTGTGTGTGAGAATGCAGTGTGTTTGATGCAGTGTGTGTAACCTTGGTGGGGGGGGTGGGCATTTTTTTTTTTTTTATTATTTTAATATAAAATTTTGTGTTTTTTTTTTTTAAATATTATTTTTATTTTAATATTATTAATTTTTCTTATTATATTATTTAAATTTGTATTTATATTTTTTGTCCCCCCTCCCTGCTTGATACATGGCCAGGGAGGGGGGGCTCTCATTCCCTGGTGATCCAGTGGCATGGGCTGTGTAGGAGGGGGGCTGGCAGAGAGCTGTTACTTACCTTTCCTGCTCCCTTCACCTCCGTGCCGGTCAGCTCCCTTCTCCTCCACTGTAAGTCTCGCGGTGTATGTGCTGTGCGGAGGGTTGCCCTGCGGCTCTCGCGAGACTTACAGTGGAGGAGAAGGGAGCTGACCGTGCTGAAAAACTCATCTTATACTCGAGTATATACGGTATTTCAGTTCTAAAAATTACTTTTATTTATTTCAGAGTGTACCAGTGACATCCTTATGCCCTTGCAAAGCAATCTACAGTACATACTGCAAGTACTCGACGGCATGCGTGAAACCTACAATGCAGCATGTCTCTCTGCTTGATGTGAGCATCTACAATGTATTTAAAGGTAAATTCATACGCCTTGATTCCTGAAAAGTAAACTGCGGTGTAATGGTTACAAACTGCAAGATTTTCACCAAAATATGACATAAAAAGGACAAAACATAGGTTTACATACCATTTTTTTAGTGTAATTATAATTCATCAAACAAAATTATCCTACTCTGGCAGTCTTGATACACCCATGGATTTAGATGAGAGAATGTGCATAAATGTATGACGTAACATACACATGCTCAGTAATTTTTCATTGAAGTGCTGAAAATAAAAATATCAAGTTTTACACATTTTTTCTAAAAATAGGTAAAATAAAGAAAACAAGTAAATATTTTGAATTTACTACTGTAATTATCTTCTAATTAGTTTTTCCAGAAACCATACTACCTCTCTGCGGTCTATAATGACTGCTGCTGCCAGGCTAATTCTTCTCTCCTGTTGCACCAATCAGTACGTTGGCTTCCTGTACCCCATAGGATGCAATTCAAAATATTAACACTTGCCTACAAAGCTTCCAACAGACTTTCCCATAGTCTTCATTTATTTAAGAAACCAACCTCTCTAGAATAACCTAAGGTCTCCCTGGGTAACTGTCATTTCTCAAACTATTTCTTACTCGCTCTACTTAACCCCTTAAGGACTGGACTGTTTTTGCGATGTTGTACATTTGCGACCAGGCATATTTTTACACTTTTGTGGTGTTTGTGTTTGGCTGTAATTTTCCGCTTTCTCATTTACTGTTCCAATACAAATTATATATTGTTTTTTTCAGGACAAAATGGGCTTTCTTTACATACCATTATTTATATAATCTCATGTATTTTAATTTAAAAAAAATACAAAAATCTGATGAAAAATTGAAAAAAATACATGTTTTTTGACTTTTACTTGAAAAATCTTTTACTCATCTACAAAAGCGAATGAAAAAAACTGCTAAATAGATTCAAAATTTTGTCCTGAGTTTAAAAATACCTAGTGTTTACGTGCTTTTTTGCTTTTTTTGCATGTTATAGGGCTATAGGTACAAGTAGGATATTGCGGTTTCAAAACATACATTTTTAAAATTTATCAATAGTGACATTGTAACACTATTATCTGTCATAAATCTCTGAATAACACCCCACATGTACATATTTTTTTTAAAGTAGACAACCCAGGGTATTCAATATGGGGTATGTCCAGTCTTTTTTAGTAGCCACTTAGTCGAAAACACTGGCCAAAGTAAGCATTCATATTTGTTTGTGTGTGAAAAAAGTAAAAAAACTAAATTGAACGCTAATTTTGGCCAGTGTTTGTGACCAAGTGGTTACTAAAAAAGACTGGACATACCCCATTTGCAATACCTTGGGTTGTCTTCTTTTGCAAATGGTATGCCATCATGGGGGTAATTCTCATTCCTGGGCTACCATACGCTCTCAAAGGCAACGTAACCAACCTGGCCATTTTCAATGTAAAAATATTTGACCCATATATTTGACCTTGTAACTTTCAAAAATGCTATAAAACCTGTACATGGGGGGTACTGTTTTACTCGGGAGACATCGCTGAACACAAATATTAGTGTTTAAAAACTGGAAAACGTATCACAACAATTATATCATCAGTAAAAGTGCTGTTTGTGTGTGAAAAATGCAAAAAAAGTAACTTTCACTGACAATATCATCGCTGTGATATGTTTTACTGTTTTGAATCACTAATATTTGTGTTCAGCGAAGTCTCCCGAGTAAAACAGTACCCCCCATGTACAGGTTTTAGGGTGTCGTAGAACGTTACAGGGTAAAATACAGTGCTAGCAAATTAAATTCTCTGGAATTTCGGCCTGGGTTGGCAGGCAGGTCCCTCAAATTGCAATCAATAAAATTACTGAATTATGTAAAAATATTACATAAATACGCACGTAGAATTTAAATATATATGCATATTTATATATTTGAAGTCTACGTGTATATTTATATAATTATTTATGTAATTTTGTATATGGACGTATGTATATTTCTTATTTTTATTTATTTTTATATACATAGATATATATACAAATTCATTCTAAGTGTATTTTGATATAAATATATATATATTAATTTTAAAATACAGTTAGAATAAAATTTCATATAGCTATATAATTTTTTTAAATTTTTTTATTAAAAAAAAAAATATTTAATTTAAATTACTTATTATTTATATTTTATAATAATAATATATATATATACAATATATATATAGTTATTATATATATATATACGTGTGTAATTTAATTATAAGTGTATTTTTATATTAATATAAGTACATATTAATATAAAAATACACTTAGTATGACATTATATATATATATATATATGATATATAGACATATATTTTATATAGGTATAATATATGTCTATATATCATATATACACATATATATTTTTTTTTTTTTTTTATTAACACTAACTTTAATTTATTTTTTGATTTTACACATGCAGGGAGACTGCCTGTCAGCACAGACAGTCCCCCTGCAGGCAGACACATGGACACCTATTGTGACCATGTGATCGCTCTGTTAAGCGATCACATGGCCACAGGGGTCCTAATCTGCCGTGGGGAGACTGCCTGGGCTGCAGGCAGTCTCCCCACAACCGGAGCCACGCTGATCGCCGCCGGGGGAACGACGGCGATCAGGTAAGTAACTCTGACCGTTAGGACGGTTCAGGACCGTCATCGGTCGGCAACGCAAAAATGCCGATGACGGTCCTGAACCGTCCTCGGTCCTTAAGGGGTTAATTAGTGGGTCCACACTCCATTGCACTTTTACTCTTACCTAATTCTGCTAATTTCCCACCCTCTCGCGTTGTTTGTTAACCCATGCTGCCTTTCCTATTGTGTTTGTATAACCCACCTCCACTAGATTGAAAACTTACTTGAGCAGGGTTCCTGTCAAAATATGTAATAGTTTGTCTCAGCTGTTGTGAAATTCCCCCCTTCACAGTATATTATATAGCACTGCAAAATAAATTGGTTCTATATAAATGTCAATAATAATGGTAATAATGCTAAATCAACATACACAATAAGGAAGCATATAGAAAATAACAAAATGAATAAACTTGGTGTATATGTTGCACACAGGCATACAATAATGTAAAGCTATAAGTGGTAAGTTTAACTTTTAAAGGTTCCCATTATATATTGTCACGTAAATAAAAGGTTGTGAAAATCTCTTTTACATATATTTTACCACTTCCTCTGCATGGATGTGAGAGGCAACAAATTGTATCATGGTACATTGGCTGTCCTGCATTTAACATTACACAGTACAGCAAAAACACTGCTCCCAACAGTTACTGGACAACTTGCTATATGTTGTGTTACCAGATCCACCATGTGTTCAGAGACACATATAATTTTGTCATATTTATAAAAATGCATACTGCCCTGCAGTATGTATAATGCATATTCTGCAGGATTCTTCATTGCCTAATTACCTAATCTTCTACATCTTCTTCTGAATTCTACTTCCTACAGGTCAACCCTTTTCATGTGCTGCCTCTCAATATGTGTATGTGTGTGATGTGTGTCCATGATAATCTGGTAACCCTTGCTATGTGCTCTCTCCTGCCTGTCTACTTGGGTCACCACCAATCCGCTTCTTCAGCTCCCCACTCACTTTTAGAGAATTCCCTGCAGAATTAGTGCTGCATCTCTTTGGAACATGTCATTGGCATCCGTTCACCCCCCCCCCCCCCAAATCTTTCTTACTAGCCTTCTTTTTGTATAATCTCAAGCAGCATAATGTGTCAAATCCTTGATGAGTGACCTCTTCGTTTGACAGTTAGAATATTTGGAGTTTTGTGATTTCATGGGGCCACACTGAGGCATAACTAGAAACCACGGGGCCCTGGTGCGTAAACTGCCCTTGGGCCACCCCCATACGTCTACCCCCCCTGCAACCCTCCCCTATGTCTACCCTTCCCATCCCATACGTTGCCACCCCACACATGCAGACACACACACATATACACAGACAGACACACACACACACACACAGACAAATACATAAATACAAACACACATATACATACACACACACATACATACATACACACACAGGCACAGACACATGTACAAAATGTTTGTCACCCTCTTGTTTCCTATATTTAGGTGCAGGAGGGTGACTTTCCCTGGGGTCCAGTGGCTCAGCCTGATGGGAGTCAGAGTTCCCACTCTGACTCCTTCCTCCTGCGCGGCTCCCGGTGTAAGCTGGGAGGAGTGACCGGGGCAGTCACTTCCTCCCAGCTGTGATGTCATTACAGGGGACCCGGTCGTGCTGTTAATGCGCCACAGCGCGGACCGGGCCACCTGAAAATTAATTTCCATCAGGTGGCCCCAACAGCATGGGACCCTGAACATGCGGCCAGGGCCGCAACACATGGCGGTGGGCACAGTAGTTGCAGGGGTTGTGTTCAGTGCCATTATGATTTGCTAATATGGTGCTGGGTAAGTGCATTCCCATTACTGTTCTTGCATCTTTTCTCATAAAATTCTAACATTCCTTGGATGGCCCTGATCAATTCATTGTCAAATCCCAAATTTAATTTTGTATATCAACTCTGACTTGTATATCTACTCTTTTTTCCTGTATTGAGATCTGTAGCCTTCTAGAGCCTCATACCATATATACAGTCTCTAGATGCCTGACTGCTTTACATTTCAATTCCACTCTTCCTGATTATTTGCACAGTCTTAGAGTAGAGAATGGTCTACCTTCTGCCCTTTTGCCTTAGACTTTTTTCTAATTTTTACCTGAAACTACTACACATTGTTCTGTATATTATTTTGAAAGATACTTATATTATCTTAAATAACTTGAAATATTAAATTCTTCTATCATGTTGGCATGCATTGGCATGTTGAAAGGAAAGAAAGATAAATCTCCCACCTGGTACTAACTGACAGATGCAGCAGATGAGCAAATAAGACTATAAAGATACAATGGGTAAGCCAGGGAAATATCAGTAGCATCAGACGTCCTTTTCTAGACCTGCAGCGCACAACACAGTAGTAAATAACACGTGAGACAAAACAATGGAAATACCAATATACTCGTGCAAGTGTACAACTTGTGACAATAAGAGACTGCTTTATCAGACATTTGAGCAGGTCTTACACTTCTATAATTCAACATGTTGAAGAGTTGAACCAAAAGCCTTAAAGCTAGACAGCCTAACACACCAAATTTTGGGCTATGAGTATCCTATATTACAGGAAATAATGTATTGCCAGTGTTTAGAGTGGCCGGGCTTAAAATATTAAACGTTGGGGGCTTCTATTTGATTTTCCACCTTCTTACTATTCCATACTATTGACTCACAAGTATTTAGGATTGATTATGCTTATTTTTTTTTTTTATTGGGATACATGATTTACATTGATTGTATATGTATAGTTTTATCCATGCTGAGATTTATTGATGTATATTCTTGTGATACCTTTGATCTTGTACCAATATAATAAAGTACATTCTATTTAGTTGGTTGTGCTCCTCCTTTATTATTATAGTCTACTGATTTATTAGCCTCTGGAAATAAGGCTTTAGAGTGAGCACCCTCATTTATGTATTCTATGGCTTTGCATTGATGTATCTTATATGGCTGTTTGTCAGGTGTGGCTACCTGTTTTTGATTAAAATCTGATGGCAGAGTAAAGTACAGCATCAATACGCATGTGTCCGGCGTCCAGAGGGCACAGGAGCCATAACATGTAAAATATTAAGGCATCTGTTATATAATGTGCTGAATTGCCTAACATAGGCCTGGAAATAAACTTTCTAAATGATTCAATAGTGTTGCAAAAATGTCCAAATGCTTTGTCTACAGAAGTCACCTTTAAAGTCTAAGGTAATTGTTGTAGATAAATCAATTGGAAAACCTATTAAATCTAGGCTTCGATTTTTGCATACGTTTTCAAATGATTCACTGTTTTTAGACAAACCTCATATTATTTAATATTTTTGCATAAACTTTTCAAATTCATTTTTTCAAAATATTAAGATATCAAAAATCTCATATATATATGTATGTATGTGTGTGTGTATATATATATATATATATATATATATATATCTCAATTTAGCACAGGGCTTGACAAATTTGTTTGGAATCTAGGAGCCAGTTTTTTAAAAATTAAACTAAAGTTTAGTTTTCAACGAGAATAATGCAATTCTTAAGGGACGCTATAGACACCAGAACCACTACAGTTTAATGTAGTTATTCTGGTGGCTATAGCCTTTACCTTTTGAATGTAAACACTGTGTGCAGCACCTACGTTCAGCGTCTCCATGCTCTGCATGGAGGCGTTGAATGTTCCCCTTAGAGATCATTGATTTAAAAAATGAGGAGATGCTGATTGGCACAGTTTCGCTGCGCATATAGGGAAAGTATTGGGTTAGCTGAGATCATAAAGATAGACTATCTCAGCCATGGAGGAAGGACCAGCCACAGCGAAATCGGCATGGTGTGGTTAAAAGGTGAGTAAAAATACCTTTGTCCTGCAATTGGATAGGGTCAGGTATCGACACACATACACTCCCTGACAGAGGGGCACAGACATACACACACTCTAACAAAGGGGCACAGACATACACACTCTGACAGGCACACACTCACAAACGGACATTTTTATGAAATCCACCCAGCCTCCCTACCTTTGGGAGAGCTGAATGGATTTTCCCTGGGGTTCAGTGGGGCTGCTCTCTAATCTTCCTGCGTACGAGGGAGCAGTAATCTTCCTGCAGCTCCTCTCTGCATCCCTTTTGTAGTGATGCCGGGGCCGGAATGACCTAATATTCCAGCTCCTGGCATCATTAAACAGTGCGCGAGGGATCAGAGAGGAGCTGCAGGTAGATCACTACTCCCTCACACACCTCCTACAATGCTCCCAACGGTTGGGTGGCCCCATGCTGCTGCAGCCGTGTAAAGAATAGGGCCAATGTAACCCCTGTGCCGGCCGCCTCCATGTTCACCAGATTGGCCGGCTCCAGTGTTCCCCACCACGACCAATTTTAATGCTTCCTCAGGTGGCCGCCTTAATTTTAAAGGGCTGTCAGACACCAGGGCAAAATTTCTAGTTGCCATGGCGACCTAATGTCTGGGATTTGTCGAGCCTTGATACAGCAAAAAGTATCAAAATATGAAATAATTTTAAGTTTATCCAAAAATATCCATGTCATAATACTGTTGTGAAGGACTTCAGCCCATTTACAAAGTTCTGGGTCTAATTATGTTGCTATACAGAACTGTGGAAAAGTTTGAGGCAGTTGTTAAATGTGCTATCAAGTAAGAATGCTGTCAAAAATATAAATGTTAAGTTTATTTTGTGTCCGTAAAAAAAATTCAAAGTGAGAGAAAAGAATACACATCTAAATTAAATGAATTCCCTTCAAAATAGCATTATTTTTCTAGGTACACTTGCACACTGTTTTGTAAGGAACATGACAGGTAGTGTATTTCAAATATCTTGGAGTATTAACCAAGATTTTTCTGTAGATTTAGGAAGTCTCGGTTGCTTCTGTCTGACAGGCTCATTGTGCTGTTGTTTGTGGGGATCATTCCATCCCTTCCAGGACGTCTTGTTCTTCTTTTTACTGAAGATAGTCTTCTTTAGGATGAAGATGGTTTTTAATGACTTTGGCTGTATGTTTAGGGTCATGCTGCAGAATACATTCAGAGCCAATCAAATGCCTTCCTTATGGTTTTACCTGATGGATAAGTATCTGTATGCACTTCTCATTCCATTAAACATACACGTTGTTCGAATTGTACTTTGCTTAACAAACCATTATGATTTAATTCCAGATTGGTTGTTTCTGAATAATGGTTTATGGAGGATGGATCTCTGCTGCTTTTTCCGATGTTTTAAGGAGCATTTTCAGGGTCTGGTCATGGGCAGTCCACACCAGCAGCATATGGCCCTTACTTGTGTCCAAAACCACCTTACAATAATTTCCTGCTGCTATGTGCTAACACTATCATAGCACTGCATGGCCTACATTACCAGTAGAGCGCTGCTAATGCCGCCATATGGATTATTGTCTCTGCTGCAGTTGGACTGCGGGACCTGTGCACTGCCACTGGTGTTTTAAGCTTTGTACTGCATGGATTGCTGCTGCCTCTGCCATCATTTGGATTCCTGCAATTGTGTGAATCTCTATTACTGCTTCTTCTGCTGTTGTCTCCATGGTTCCTGTTACTGCTGTAGTTGAGTGCCATTTCTGCAGTTGTAGATAGGGATTAGGGACACTGCTGTAATAGTAGCTGGATGAAGCATGGTCATTGCTGCAAATAAAATTCTGTTTGACACAATGATTATGTGCTATGACCTGCTTCTTTCAGAATGTACCCACTTTCTGCAATGCTGTATTTCAAAAGCTAACACCACATTCCATTGTATTCACTTAACGGAACACTGTAGTCACCCAGACCACTTTATCTGAATTAAGTGGTCTAGGTGAAGTTTCCATGTTCTTTAACCCCTTAAGGATGGTGGGGGCGTGCTATGCCGTCCTTGGTGACCTGATATATATATTTTAATTCTATGTATATATTTCTGTAATATTTTTACATAATTTAGTCATTTTATTCATTACAATTTGCGGGACCTGCCTGATAACCCATGCAGAAAGTCCAGAGAATTTAATTTGCTAGCACTATATTTAACTCTGTAACTTTCCAAGACACCATAAAACCTGTACATGGGGTGTACGGTTTTACTCCGTTGGAGACTTCGCTGTACACAAATATTAGTGTTTCAAAACAGTAAAATGTATTACAACAATGATATCATCAGTGAAAGTGACTTTTTTTGCATTTTTCCACACAAACGGCACTTACACTGACGATATAATTGTTGTGATACGTTTTACGGTTTTGAAACACTAATATTTGTGAGTATAAGAGTACCCCTCATGTACAGGTTTTATGGTGTTTTCAAAAGTTAGAGAGTCAAATATAAGGCTTGCTTTTCAGTTTTTTCACATTGAAATTCGCCAGATTGGTTACGTTGCCTTTGAGACCATATGGTAGCCCAGGAATGAGAATTACCCCCATGATGTCATACCATTTGCAATAGTAGACAACCCAAGTACTGCAAATGGGGTATGTCCATTCTTTTTTTAGAACCCACATGGTCACAAACACTGGCCAAAATTGGCGTTCAAATTAGTTTTTTGCATTTTTCACACACAAACAAATATTAATGCTAACTTTGGCCAGTTTTGTGTTTGTGACTAAATGGCTACTAAAAAAGACTGGACATACCCCATTTGCAATACATTGGGTTGTCTACTATTGCAAATGGTATGCCATCATGTGGGTAATTATCATACCTGGGCTACCATACAATCTAAAAGGCAACTTAACCAATCTGGCGAATTTCAATGTGAAAAAAGTAACATACTATATTTGACCCTGTAACTTCCCAAAACACCATAAAACCTGTACATAGGGGGTACTGTTTTATACTTAAGACATCGCTGAATACAAATGTGTATTTGATTGCAATAAAAGCAAACAGTATTATGACATTCACAGTTAAAATGTCATGCAGAACTAAAAAAAAAAAACACAAACTATTTCTTAATTTTTCACATTTTTTATATTTTATTCATGTTAAATTATGTTTCATTGCTAAATATTTGATGTTAAATGAAAGCCCTATTTATCGTGAATAAAATTATATATAATAAGTGTGGGTGCACTTAAAATGAAAGAGGTAAATTACGGTTGAACAGACATATAGTCAAATTCCAAGTTTTGTTTACGTTTTATTTTGGTCAAAATGTGTACATTTAGCTCAGTCCTTAAACCCTGCTACGTAAAAATATAGCAATTTTTTTTTTTTAAATTTGGTTTAGTTTTTTAAACTGCATTGTTTGCTTTGCAGGGTTAAGGCCACGTCTAGTGGAGTAAATGGTTAGAGACCCCTGCAGCCTTTCTCCTCAGTTATGTGCGTTGTAGACAGTCCATGCAGCCTCTCTCCTTAGCTATGAGCGTTGTAGACGGCCCCATGCAGCCTTTCTCCTCAGTTATGTACGTTGTAGACCATCAAGGCAGCCTTTCTCCTCAGTTATGTGCGTTGTAGACAGCCCATGCAGCCTTTCTCCTCAGCCCATGCAGCCTTTCTCCTCAGTTATGTGCGTTGTAGACAGCCCATGCAGCCTTTCTCCTCAGTTATGTGCGTTGTAGACAGACCATCAAGGCAGCCTTTCTCCTCAGTTATGTACGTGTAGACCATCAAGGCAGCCTTTCCCCTCAGTTATATGCGTTGTAGACAGCCCATGCAGCCTTTCTCCTCAGTTATGTGCGTTGTAGACAGCCCATGCAGCCTTTCTCCTCAGTTATGTGCGTTGTAGACAGCCCATGCAGCCTTTCTCCTCAGTTATGTGCGTTGTAGACAGCCCATGCAGCCTCTCTCCTCAGTTATGTGCATTGTAGACAGCCCATGCATCCTGTCTCAGTTATGTGTGTTGTCTGTCTGTGGATAGTGGAGACCCATGCATTGTCTGTCTGTGGTGCGGGAATAGTGGAGACCTATGCATTGGCTGTCTGTGGTGCGTGAATAGTGGAGACCCATTCATTTTGTCTGTGGCGTGCATAGTAGACTTATGAATTGTCTGTCTGTGGTATGCAGGGTAGGGAGTCTTGTCTTCTTCTTGTTGTGCATAGTAGAAACTCATGTGTTTTCTGTTTTTCATAGTAGACACCTATGTTTACTCTGCCTAAATTGTACACAGCAGAGACTCCTCATTCGTCCATCTAATGAGGGCATATTAGACCAATGCATAATTTCTCCTGTGTGTACAATGGAAGCCTTTATACTTCTCTCTGTGGAATAAATGGTTAGGGACCCCTGCAGCCTTTCTCCTCAGTTATGTGCATTGTAGACAGCCCATGTAGTCCGTCTCCTCAGTTACAGTTATGTTCGTTGTAGACAGCCCATGTAGCGCCTCTCCTCAGTTTGTGTGTTGCAGACAGCCCATGCAGCCTGTCTCTTCAGTTACGTACGTTGTAGACCGCCCCTGCAGCCTGTCTCTTCAGTTACATGCTTTGTAGACAGCCCATGCAGCCTCTCTCCTCCGTTACGTGCGTTGTAGACAGCCCATGCAACCTGTCTCCTCAGTTACGTGCATTGTAGACAGCCCATGCAGCCTCTCTTCTCAGTTATGTGCGTTGTAGACAGCCCATGCAGCCTCTCTCCTCAGTTTGTGTTGTAGACAGCCCATGCAGCCTCTCTCCTCAGTTACGTGTGTTGTACACAGCCCTTGCAGCCTCTCTTCTCAGTTACGTGCGTTGTAGACAGCCCATGCAGCCTCTCTCCTCAGTTTGTGTGTTGTAGACAGTCCATGCAGCCTCTCTCCTCAGTTACGTGCGTTGTAGACAGCCCATGCAGCCTCTCTCCTCAGTTTGTGTGTTGTAGACAGTCCATGCAGCCTCTCTTCTCAGTTACGTGTGTTGTAGACAGCCCATGCGGCCTCTCTCCTCAGTTACGTGTGTTGTAGACAGTCCATGCAGCCTCTCTCCTCAGTTTGTGTGTTGTAGACAGCCCATGCAGCCTCTCTCCTCAGTTACGTGTGTTGTAGACAGCCCATGCAGCCTCTCTCCTCAGTTACGTGTGTTGTAGACAGCCCATGCAGCCTCTCTCCTCAGTTTATGTGCGTTGTAGACAGCCCATGCAGCCTCTCTCCTCAGTTTGTGTGTTGTAGACAGCCCATGCAGCCTCTCTCCTCAGTTTGTGTGTTGTAGACTGCCCATGCAGCCTCTCAGTTATGTGTGTTGTAGACAGCCCATGCAGACTGTCTCCTCAGTTACGAACGTTGTAGATAGCCCATGCAGCCTTTCTCTAATATGGTGGAGATCCCAAGTATTCATTAGCCTCAATTTTGTGCGTGGTAAAGATCTTTTTATGCCGCTCTTTCACCGTTCTCCTCTTAGTAGTGATGTCCTCTCCTCCCTCTTTTCTTCTTCTCCCTCCCCACTATTCCTAGCACCTGTTCCCCTCCCTGTTCATGCTGGTGCCCCTGTCTCTGAATCGGCTCCGGATCCCCTAGTACTCCATTTCGCATCTTTGTGTTTCTCAATCACTTCCCTTTTGTTTGCTCCACATCTGTGCCCCTGAGCTCTCCCTTCCCCCTTCTCAGTGCCGGAGGCTCACAGTGAGGCACACACAAGGTGAGTGAGAGCTGAGTGCTTTCTCATTCCAGCTCCCAAGCACCGGCTCTGTATGTCACGTCTGCTTGTCAAGGAATGGAACAGTGATCAGTAAGCTTGTTACACTCTGCAAATGCGGCATTCTAGAACGGTATGCTTGTGTCAATGGCCCAGCTTGTGTGGGTATATTATGTGCATAGGGCGATGGTATAAATAAATACATTAGTGCATATAATAACATCATTTTGCCGCCGCTGTATCTGCCGAAGTACTATGTCTTTCATGCATGGCCTGTATCTTAATTGAGTTTTCTGTTGTGTAATGTGCTCAATGTGAGATTTAACGAATCCCCCTCCATTGATTGTGTTGAAGTGAACATACCAACATTTGCACTTATTTCTCTTTACACCAAAGGCGAAGTTTTGGATTCATTTAGATCCCGGTGCTTCTCTGTGCACACGTGGGTTTCTCTCGTGTCAGTCAGGCATATACAGGGCTCAGAGAGAATCTGATGGGGACGATGATTTATTAGGGGTCACTGACTCCTGTACTGGGAAGAGAGCCTAGTTAGAAATGTGTAAGTGTGGAGCGGGGGAATATCTGCGGTTTAGTATGTTTTGGGGTATCGCTTAGTTCTAGGAGGGGGAAGTCTTTTCCTGCTTGCAGGAGGCGGGGGTCTCTTTGTTGAAGGGGGAGGGGAGGGCAGATCTGCTGATAGAGCCCCCGGCTCGGGGCTCAGAACAAAGAATCGGAGAGAGCTCTGGCCTGTCATTAGACCTCACTCTGTGTGCTGAGGACTTTTGTTGGTGTGTATTGCATTCATGTTTTGTGTTTATACTGAATTCTGTTGATATATACACAAATATACTTAGGTTGCAGTGTATCTGTTTGTTACAAAAGTAAATTGTGTTTTATTAAGTAAATGTGTAAAGAGTAACCATGTATTGAATGGGGATGGTTCTAAAGAGTATATGTGAATATGTCTGGGTACACTGCTCATACTGTGTGTATACTTACATATTTTGCTGTTAGTTTTACTTTAAGTTGATTAAAATGTGTATCTTGAATTTGTTTACATTTTGTCTGATTGTTGTAGGTATTTATCCATCTAGTACATCTAAAAATGCACTGAGCCATTATTGTAACATAGTTATACTAAGCAACATTATTTGTATCTTGAATTTGTTTACATTTTGTTTGATGGCTGTAAGTATATAGCCATCCAGTACATCTAAAGATACACTTGAGCCATTACTGTAGCACTACAGATATGCATTTTTGCATAAGATAGTTCTACTAAGCAATATTATTTGTATATATTTTCTATTAACATTTGTATGTTTTGTGTGTTCATGTGAATATGTAGAAGCACCTTTTCTCCAGATGATATTGGCTCTATTTATTAAACCTTTTAAATATGTAATGGTTATATGCAACTGTCTTTTGGGGGGAAAACAGTCAGTGGAATTCCAATGGATATCAACATATACCAGTCACACATCCATTTTTTTTTCCTTGTCTTCTGAGTGATTTCCTTCTCTCTCTTCATAGGAAAACTTTTTGAAAAAGTCTGGTACTCCCCACTTTACCCCAAAGCCAGAGAGAGAAGTTTTCCACTCTTGGCATCAAGATGAACTGTCAAGGGGAAGTAGGGAATCTCCGGCAGATGCGCTTGCACTTTTCTTCAACAGGTCCGCTGCACTGGGAGGAGAGGAATGTGGGTCTTTAGAATGCTATTTGGTAGGAAGGTACATGCTACACGAGTGTTCACTTCCAAATGAAGGGATTTAAACTGTGTTTCAGTTTTAAAAGCTGGCTAACATTGAGTTACAGGACCAGATAACATTTAACCAGACCCCACACATGCTGAAGCCTAATGCTTTCGTAGCAAAACCGGTGTCCTAAAGGTTCTTTGTTAGGCTTGTCCAGTATTTTGGCTGAGCAATGAAGGATACCCAGTCAACAGTAGCTCAACATGTGGGGTCCGAAGACATTTATGATTTCCATGATGATGGGGAACCTTTGGGGAGATTGAAAGGACCTGATATACCTGGAGAAAAGATTACCTGTAATAGCAGGTCCTCGGAACTTGTAGAACAATTTCAGAAAAAGAGGAAACGTTGTGGGGTCTGTGCGCCATGTCTACGAAAGGAGCCTTGTGGAGCGTGTTACAACTGTGTCAACCGGAGTACCAGCCACCAGATCTGCAAGATGAGAAAGTGTGAAAAACTGAAAAAGAAGAGACTGATCCCACTCAAAGGAACAGAGGTGAGAAGTTGCAGATAAATATTTATTTTTGTTTGTAAGGCAATGCTTTTTATTTATTTATATACTTTATTTACTTTTGTTGTCCATTAAAACATCTTACCGGTGTTTGGTTAGGCCACTTAAAAAGTGGTGTTAAGTACCTGAGGGCACACTGATTAAAAAAGATATAATACAGGGTTCCATTCATGGGCCTCATTTGGGGTTTCCCACATGGACTTTTAAATGCCTTTTCCACTGTTGCTTGAACTCTGTGTACTGGCTGTACACCAGCTCTGAGTTTTTGCGCATGCCTTGTACCATTCTTAATGGTTTTCTTTTTATTTATTTATTTATTTTCTTTAAAAATATATATAAATAAAATACATTTTAGATCAGCTCACATTGGGTGAGGAAATACTCATTCATATAATAGTAGCTGAAATGTAAGTATGCTTTTCCGTTTAAGTTTTTGCTGCTGTTAGAATTACATTTTTGTTTAATGATCCTCTATGAAACAATATATTATGATTTGTGTGTTTCACTGTGATGTAGCCTCTTGGATATGTATTTAATTAGAATATTGAGGGGGAAAAAAAAAGTTCATTCCCATACCGGGAGTCGAACCCGGGCCGCCTGGGTGAAAACCAGGAATCCTAACCGCTAGACCATATGGGAACTCAGAGCTCAGCGTATGAAAAAGTCATTCACATATCTACGTGAGTCATGCAGGTTTTTTTTTTGTGATGCATTATTTAGCATGGCTGTCTCGTGTAGGGTTAAGTGTCATGTCCAGAGAGGCGCTGCAGATATTTTGACATACCCGCTATTGATATGCAGGTTTCAATGTGGGGGCGCTAGACTTACAAGCATTTGGTATTTAATTTATGGGAAGGACTTTTAGATACTGTAGGTCGTGTGCAATGTGCAGAGAAGCCTTAGTGGCAACTCCTCCCCCTAGTTTTATGACATCTAAAATGAATATTGCAGAGCTCTGAAAAACAACTGAATATGTGCTTCAAATAATTTGTTTTTTTCCTTTCTTTTTTTTTTTCTTTCTTTCTTTCTTAATGTTCTGCCTATAGAGGCATGTTTTTTGGTATGCACCGTATTTTGGTGTGTGTTTAAACATGTTGATTTGTATTGGTGGACATGCTCTCTGAATAGACAGTCATTTGTTTAGTGGGTAAGGATCATGGTGGATGAGATTATACAGTGAGGAAGAGAGGGAAGAAGAAAACTGTTGACAAGATTTTTGATGCTGGGTGTTAAATGATCTGGCAGTGAAGGGGTTATAAGTTATAAGAGGTTGCTTTCACAGCCTTCATTTTAAACATTTCCTAACATCTTGTCCTTTTTCTGTAAAATATTTCTGTGGCTATAGTAATAATTGCAGACCTTCGTCGCTCAATAGGACAAAATGTATTAAACAAAAATATTGACCTTCAAGAGCTTACTTATAGACTATGATTGACCTTATGTATATGAAAGGGTTAATAAAGTGGAGGGGTTTTTATTTCGCTTTGTTTTGTTTTTTCTCTCTTTACTTTATTCATTCTCAATGCCTTTTGCCAGATTCATAATATAATCGTAGAAAATAAAGAGTTCGCTCACCCAATGGGCACCCCATCAAACAGGCACTTTTAACCTTTTTCTATAGCACCACCGTGCTGCTTTCAGCCTGAATGATATGCTCCTGCTCACCCACAGCCTCTGCTGCCAGTCATTGTTTAACATGTGTTATTACATAGAATTGTATGAGTGGGTATGCGAGAGGAACATCTCTAACAACATTTCCATTTAATTTGCTGAACCTTTCTTCTGCGATTTTCCTAACCTTGATTATGATAATTAGCATCTGTCCAAATTGTTTCTATGTAACACCGTTAATGTCAGCAATTGGGGATTCTTGGACTACCAGTCAGGCCTCTCTTTTGTGTTTGGGGTTGTAACAGAGCCTGCGTCACCCTCCCCCGCTCCTCCTTCCTCTGCCTCCTCCCCCCCTCCTTCCAGGGAATGATTCTTGACATGTGGTATAGGCAAACGTATCCTATGGCTGCCAGCTGGGTTTTATTCTCCCCACCCCCACTGCACGCCACATACTGCTCCTATTGTGTGTGTCGCTCCTAGGAGCGCTTTTCTTGTACTGCATTGTGATCAGAATCTAGTTGCATGAATCTGACCTATTCCAGACATACATGAGGGAAATAGACTGTGCTGGTTAGCTACAACTGATGACCCCAGCTACCTAGACTCTAGTTTAAGGATCATAAAGTACTGATAAGCTCACAGGGATTTCCCCAGTGGCAGCTACTTTAGTTTTATTCCAGCAGCAGTAGTAGAGGTGCTGACTATCCTTGCATAGTTTTAGTTAGTTATAAATATTTATTAATAATTTTACAACATCCGTGTGCTGTCAATATAATCATCACTTTTCACTTCTGCATTCAAATCTTTACCTCTCAATTCCTTAATAGCAAGCTGCACTCTAATCACATAATTATAGTTTAATTGCCAAAAATAAATGTCCTTGAACAAAGGAATC